AACAGAGGGTTTGGTTGGTGGGGGGGGGAGGGGACACTTCACGCTAGGGTGGGTTTCCCAACTGCTGCTGGACCCCCCCCCACAAACAAACACACACCATTCCCTGTAGCAAGGTCAAGCATGCAGCTGCGTGGTCAAGCTCTGGAATGTGCAATCTAGAAAGACATCTTTGAAATCCAGCTCTTGGTTTCTCCCCTCACATAAGAAAATCCACCCGGGATAAAAAGAGGACACTGTGAAATGGGTGAGAGTCCTTGTGTGCTCTGGGTTTGCGATTTGAAAAATCATCCCTGAAAGAAACCAAGTAGAACGCCCGGCAAACACTCTTACAGCACCCCAATTCAATGTTAAACTAAGCACTGCAGAGAACAATATGGGGAGAAAAAAAGAGAACACACAAGTTGCTCACCCTCCCCACTGCTTTGAATAAACAAAACACTCCACAAACAAACCTCCTGAGCCCTCTGCCAGCCACATACTCAATCCTCTGAGATAAGACCTCGCACTTCCCAAGGACTCTGCTGAATCCTCTGGATTCTCAAGATCTAGCACCATGGTACCACAAAGCCCGCCGAGGCTCAATCCTGGCGCCTATTTTCAGAAAACATGTCATAAGAATGCTTAGCATCAATGTTCCCTCTATTTCCCCCCCCCCTCCTGAGAGGAGCAGTTCACATCCTAAGCAGAATATAACTGCCATAATCATAACATGGGCAATGGGCAGTGCAAGACCTTGCGTGGCTCCAGACTGCTGCTGAGCGGGGCTTCCTGTGTTAATGAGTGGCCGCTCACGCACACAGCTTAGAGGGAACACTGTTTAGCATGCATCTCCTGCTTTCTGACGAAATGCATTTTCTCTTGGGTGGCTGGCAAACAGCAAACCTCCACTTGGCATTTTAAAGGGTTTTTTTGGTGTATGTGATGGTGATCAATACTATTAGTGGTATGGTAAACTGCTAATTTTAATTTATCACAGTCCTATTATCTATGAGGTATATAGTATAAATAAAAATGGGAAAAGATCTAACATTTTCGTTGTTTGTTATTTTTCTTTATTATTTTTCTGCCCTCTCAAGGTAATTGCAATTGCAAATGCCTTGTTAAAAATGACAATGAATGAGTCAGGAGAAAATTTGTTATCTTTTTTTATACAATATGTTTAATATGGATGTCCTAGATAAATGTAAATGTTTTGTACAATCCTTTCCCCCCCTTTTCCCACATTCCTTTTTTTTGGGTATCCTTAATACTCTTTTACAATAAAATTAAAATTTAAAAAGCTTTCCCCCCTTCTCTCTGGGCAGAGAACTGGCTGGAAAGGAAGAAGTCAATCAATGGCTTTCCAGGCTCACCTCAAGAAACACTAATGGGCTTAGACAAATGGATGGTCAAGCCTCCCCCTCCTTCTCCCCCCTTATCCAGGCAGGGAACAGAGTTTGGAGGGTTTTAGGCTAAAACAGGCCAGGAATCTCCAGGAAGCAGTTGGAGGAAACGTTTCTCTGACCTGAGCTGACTGGGATCAAGGGGGAGAGGAAAGAGAGATGATAAAACTTCTTTGCCACAGGAAGTAGGTCTTTTTCTTGGGGATGTAGCATTGAGGAGAATTCTAAGATCTGGTCTGCAAGTGGGCAGCCATTGAACATTTGGTCACCTGGAAGAGTTGGAGATATTGGTACCTCTGCAGAGACCAAGAACAACTAAGGTTAATGAGCCTGTCCTATTTTAACATCAGATAGGGCATGTAAAGTCAGAGGGACAGAGGATTTGCATTTTTGACCAAGTTCTTTTGTATTCCTTGCTCATTCTGGTGCTGTGATAAAAGTATGCTTGTAAACATTTTCTTTTTAATAAATAGTTCATAACTTTTGATGCTGGTCATGGTTCTCTGTACCATATAGACCTCCACCATCTTGGACACACTATTTTAAAAGGAACCCAGGAAGGGGGGAAGGCTATCAGTTGGCCAGTGAGTATTCCCTCAGGGGTGCACGAGGCAGTAAGCTGTCCCTGTGAGGACCAGGCGTTGGGCAGCGGGAGACACAGAGGCAAAGCCTCAGATCTTCGAAAGGAAGCTGGGAGTCCTGTTCCTCCAAGTGGGCAATTCCTTGCTAAAAGGGCAGGTGCTGGTGGCAGGCTACCCTGAGAGTGAAAGAAAAGCCACAACAGGGAGTTGGGAACCACTGGGAAGGCAGGGCGGCATAAGGCCCGCAGGCCAGAGCAGGAACATTCCACCACACAAGTCTTCGAAGCACTTCATGTACATTGTATACCTTATATCAGCTTTGTAAGGTACATCAATATTATTATCCTCTGGCTTGGTGTCAGTATACCCAGAGGTGGAACAGTTACCAGGGCCGAGGGCTGCCTCCCCCCGCGGTTCTACTCCCTCGCTAGAGCTCTACCATCCGTGCTCCCAGCTGTACAGACTTCCCAGTACCACCAGGGAAAGGGTTGCAGGAAGTATAGGTGGGTGTGAGCATGGGTGGTGGGAGATCTTGCAGCCGAGCAGAGGAAGAACACACAGGCAGGCGCGGGGTTGGGTGGGAGGGAATGAGGGTGTGAGCAGGGAGGGGCTGTGGCTCAGTGGTTGAGCACTTATTTATTTAAAACATTTCTTCCACTTCTCCTGGAGAAAATGGCTACTTTGGGAAGGGGGACTACATGGCGTTATACCCTACCCCTTAACCCCATTCTCTTAGGGTCCACCCTCAAATCTTCTGGTAACTCTGAACCCGGAGTTGGCAACCCTAATGCTATACCAGCTTTCTCCACATGAGAAAGTCTGAGAATGTGCATGGCTTTCTCCCTTTCCTCTCTATAAATATGTCCAATATCCCTAAGTTGAAGAGCCAGGGTTTCCAGATAAACTCAGCCCCCTACACGTCTTATTAGGCCCTGATTCCTTCTCCCCACCCCTGCCCAATCAAGTCACTGACCTCGACAATGTTGGAGTGAGCACTTCAGCATCTCTGGACATTGCAGGGTGCACCACATTAAGTGTGTACAAGCAGGGCTATTTTTGGGCAGGAACGCACAGGAACGGAGTTCCGGCTGGCTCCTGAGTTGGCCACGCCCAGCAGGAACTCATTAGCATAATAGGCCACACCCAACAGCAGAAACTCATTAGGATTGGCTACATTAGGGGTGTGTGGCCTAACATGCAAAGGTGATCCTGCTGTTGGGTGTGGCCTATTATGCTAATGAGTTCCTGCTGGGCTTTTTCTACAAAAAGAGCCCTGTACAGTACAAGTGTTATCTTCTTGAATGGAATGTCTCTCTTCTTAACCTGGGAGCTGCCCTCTGATGCCTCCCCTCTTGCTTTGTCCTCCCACTCTTTCTTCACATGGCCTTCCATGGAGACCCCTCCTCTTTCTCCTTTTGTCCTCTCACTCAGTTCACATGGCTTTCCATGGAGACACATGCCTCTACAGGTTGCTCATGTAGAGGCAATGCCCTCATACTCCCATACACACGACGTTGGACCAGCTGGCCGTTCGTGATAAGGAAAGTACTCTTTAGACGAGGCTTCTTTCTCTCCTTTTGACTGCAACCTAAATGTGAACTGGATCTACTTGAATAAATGCAGGTTTGCATGTTTTTTGCAATATATTTCTCGGAAGATTTATTCACTGCCCTCAGTATCATGCTTCGATGACTGGGCAAACTCTGCTGTATTAACCAAATCTCCTAACAGCCTAAACACCGCAATGCCCTGGTTAGGATATCAAGCCATTCTACCCAAAAGATACACATTGTGGGTCCCAAAGATACACGTTGTGGGTCCCAAAAATACACGTCATGGATTGGAATGCTTTCCCGAACGGGAGAAACCGCTGAGTCCTTTTGAGAGTAACGCCTGCTGTTGGAAGGTGACCTTCGGCAGAGGTTGCAGCGTTAGCGGCCCTCAAAGTGATAAGCTTAATGCTATTAACACTGTAGTCCCTGGCAGCTGCCCAAAGTAATCTGTGCAGGCTGCTAGTTTCTGGGACTGGCCTTTGCCCGGGGACAGCGCAACTAATAGTCCTGCATAGGATCAGCTATTCCACCAAGCTGTCATGGAAACTGCGGGATGCCACACGAGGCATCGCAAAACTGAGAAGGGAACGGAAAAGGTGGCCAGTTCTGGGTTGGGAAATACCTGGGGATTTGGGGGGTGGAGCCTGGGGAAGGGGGGTTAGGTAGGGGAGGGACCTCAGCAGGGTACATCGCCAGAGTCCGCCCTCCAAAGCAGCCCTTTTCTCCAGGGGAACTGATTGCTGTAGTCTGGAGATCAACTGTAACCATCCAGGTGGCGCCATAGGAACAGGCAAGTTACATCATAAACCTCTTGGTAACCTCGGGTGCATTATTTAGGGTTGCCTTTCCCCCCGATGGGGCTGGGGGTTTACCCACATTTTTTTGGGGGGGCGGGGTTGATCCATTGCCACTGAGCCAGCCAGTGGGGGGAACCCCGCCCCCAAAGAGCCCCGTCTGCACCAACATGCCCGGCGCAATGACATCATCCAGAGATGACATCATTGCACAGAGCACATTTTGGGAGAACACTCTAGCATTTGAGAAAAAACTCTATGGTTATCATAGAGTTTTTCCTCAAACGCTAGAGTGTCTCCCTGCAATGTGCCCTGGGTGGCATCACTTCTGGGTGACATCATCACATAGCGTGCGCTTTGCACGTGCACTGAAAACCCCAAGGCATGGAGAGGGACCCCCCCCCACCAGCAGCCAGGTCAGACCTGGCAAGCCTAGCATTATTCCATGCCCCCCCCCACAACTGGCTCCCAGTTGAGAACAAAATAGTTTATTTCATATTTAGATTCTTTCTTCCCTGTCGTGGGCAGCGTGTGAATCAGGGAAGGAAAGTTGGCGGGGGGGGGGGGAGGGTTGAGAAAACTTGGTGACTTAGCCATGTGCCGACAGTTGCAAAGTTATAAGAATTAGGATCATCGCGATACCTCAACCTCACTCTCTTCACAAGAGGAAGCGAAGCAGGTCATCCTTACGCTGTTCATCTTCATCTCCGTCCGGTCCTTTCTGGTGAACTGGCTGGCAAGGTGGTGCAGAGCAGTTCGACTTTGCCTCCTGGCTGCCCGCAAGTGGGAACTCCCCGCCTTCTTACACCTGTGCTTTTCTGGAAGGTGGGGGGGGGGAGAATGGGACAGAAGTTGTAGTTCTGATATCAGGAAAGGGTGGCTTGTGTTTATGTAGGCCTCAGTACAGATGTGCAGTGTGCAGTGCCCTGGGCCCCAAGATCCCTTCCTGGCCTTCCCACTGCCCCTCAGCCTCCTTACCCCACTCCATCCCAAAATGATGGTTTCAGAATCACATAAAGGGCTGCTGCTTCTCATGAGGAAGGAGTAGGAGTAGGAGTAGTTGGTTTTTATACCCCACTTTTCACTCCCTAAAAGCTATTGCTATATGAGCAGTACTAGATAGATAGAGATACCCAGAGGAGTCTCAGAGCGGCTTCCAGTCACCTTCCCTTCCTCCCCAAAACAGACACCCTGTGAGGTAGGTGGGGCTGAAGGGTGTAGACTTTCCAATTTCCCGGGGGGGGGCTGGGGCTGGGCCAGAGGCATTGCTTTACTAGGAGCAAGGGTGGCTCCCGGGGGAGGCTGAGCACCTTCCTGAAAATTTCGGCGGGGGCTAACGCCCCGACGCCCCCACGAAGATTACGCCTATCGGCTGAGAGAGCTCTGAGAGAATCACTCTGGAGAGAACTGTGACTGGCCCAAGGTCACCTAGCAGGCTTCATGTGGAGGAGTGGGGAATCCCGGGTTGTCCATTTTGGAGCCCGCCACTCTTCACCACTACACCAAGCTAGCCCACCTTCAGGTGGGGCCTGGAGTTCTCTCAGGATTACAACTGATCTCCAAACTGTAAGGATCATTTCAGAACGTAGACTCCCACAGCATCACATCCCTGCTGAGTGACCTCTAGGATCCCTTCTAACTCCTTGTCAAGAAACTGGCCTCCCTTAAGAGAGTTTTTCTGCCTAAGTGTTTCCTGACTATAGAAGTCATCGCTCCCACCTGCCAGCTTGTTCTCAGAATTGTTACTTAGGTTGACAGAAGTGATTAACTTGCAGCAGCTGCGAACTGTCATCTAAAGTGGTTGACAGCTTGCAATTTAGAGCTCTATCCTGGTAACAGCTTTCTATTGGCTTTTCTTTCTGCACTGAGAACTTCAGCCCCACCAGGAAAAAAAACCTGCCCGACAAGCCACAAAATCCTGGCGACGGGCCTGAATGGCACACCACCTCTGAATGTCTCTTGTCTTGAAAGTCCTAAGGGGTTGCCATAAGTCGGCTGCAAACGTTGGCCCTTTCCACCACCAAGAACTAGTCATGCTTCCTTCCTCCGGGGTATCTAAATACAGGCTCCATCACAGGGGTGGCCAAACTGCAGCTCGGGAACCACTTGCAGCTCTTTCACACAGTCTAATTTAATGTTAATAAAAAAGCAAATTTGCATATTTTTGAATAAAAACATGTGTGTGATATTTGTTAATGTCTTGCGGCTCTCAAACATCTGGTGTTTATTCTGTGCAGCTGTTACATTAAGCAAATTTGGCCACCCCTGCCTTAAAGACTTTCTTCTTAACTCCAACACCTCTCCCCCCAGCCTCACCCTCCTTTTTTTCATTGGAGTGGCTCCTTCCATGGTTCTCGGTGATGTCCTTGAAGGAGAAGAGGAAAAGAACCACTTCACCTTTCTCATTCTTGATCGGTACGATGTCCAGCAGGCACCAAAAGGCTGTTCCTGTACCAAGAGGGAGAGATAGATCAAGACATTAGAAACCACAACATTCAAAAACCAGTGGGGGGACATTTTAACCTTCCAGGACATTCAGTTGCTGACCTAAGAGTAGCAGTTCTCTTTACAAAGGAATTTCAAAGAGAGATTAAAAAGAGAGACTACTGAATTGGAACTGATAACGAGGCTCAAGACAATACATCCTCCTGGACTGAATCAAGACTTAGGTTTCCTGTCTCATCACCAATGCTGATTTCTCCATACCTACTACCCCTCTGAATATCACACCTACTTCCTGCTATTGTCAATCACCTGCTTTTGTGATTTGGCATCTTAAACCACTCCATTCTCCAAGATATAAGGACAGATGGACTCACATTCTGTATCTGAAGAAGTCAGCAATGACTCAGGAAAGTTCGTACCCTGCCACAAATATTGTTAGTCTTTAAGGTGCTATTGGACTCTTGCTCTTTTCTACTGCAAAAGGGAGAGAAAAAAGAACCAGCCTCCACATCACTCACACCCCCAGCTGCACTCACCCCTGGAAGACTGATCCCTCCCGCAGCTCCCTCAGGAGTACAAACTGTTATGCAGAACCAGGACTCCCCTCCTCCAGTCACCTTTAAGTCTACATGAACATCAGCCCTGTGCCTGAAACTGTCCACGGCCAACCTGGGATGATATTTTGCTTTTCAAATGTCTCTTGTTATGGAAGAAAGGCATCACAAACACATCCTAATCCTGGGTTAATTTTTCAGGCGAGAAAAATCTCTGTTGACCTTGCAGGTTGCTGGAAGGCACTGTACACATACTCCAATGCGTTTTGTAAAACTCCAAGGTGGCCACCCCCGTGGAACTGCCCTGGCACGGGCTTGATCATAGGATTGACAATTCAGCCCAGAAAAGGTTTTGCAACAATCAAACAGATGTCTTGGCTTGGAAGAGTCTCTGGTCAAAGAGACTGCATTAGACAATGATCTTTTCCGCATGCTTGAGCTACTCTTGATTTCCTTGGGAGTCGATCCACAAGTTGCTCACTGGAGGCAGGGGTCTTCCACACGTCTGCCCTTCCTGTGCATTTTAACGGTTGTGAAGTCAGTTTATTTTCTTCTGCCCGTGGCTTTGTTGTTGTTGTTGTTCAGTCGCACAGTCGAGTCCGACTCTTCGCGACCCCATGGATCATCTCCCGCCAGGCCCTCCTGTCTTCTGAAGTTGGCTCAATTTCATGTTCATTGCATCAATGACACTGTCTAACCATCTCATCCTTTGCCGTCCCCGTCTTCTTTGACCTTCAATCTTTCCCAGCATCAGGGTCTTCTCCAGTGAGTGCTCCCTTCTCATTTGGTGGCCAAAGTATTTGAGCTTCAGTTTCATTATCTGGCCTTCCAGGGAACAGTCAGGGTTGATTTCTTTGAGGATTGACTGATTTGTTCTTCTTGCAGTCCAAGGGACTCTCAAGAGTCTTCTCCAGCACCATAGTTCAAAAGAATCTATTCTTCGGCGCTCGGCCTTCCTTATAGTCCAGCTCTCGCAGCCATACATGACTACTGGGAATACCATTGCTTTGACCATGCGGACTTTTGTTGGCAGGGTGATGTCTCTACTTTTTATCATGCTGTTTAGGTTCGCCATCGCTTTCCTCCCAAGGAGCAGGCGTCTTTTAATTTCATGGCTGCAGTCACAGTCTGCGGTGATCTGGGATCCCAGGAACGTGAAGTCTGTCACTACTTCCACGACTTCCCCTTCTATTTGCCAAGGAGTGATGGGGCCGGATGCCATGATCTTAGTTTTTTTGATGTTGAGCTTCAAGCCCACTTTTGCGCTCTCCTCTTTTACTCTGAGCAAGAGGCTCTTTAGATCCTCTTCACTTTCAGCCATTAGAGTGGTATCATCTGCATATCTGAGGTTGTTGATCTTTTCCCCAGCAATCTTAATTCCCGCTTGTGATTCATCCAGGCCAGCATTTCGCATGATGTACTCTGCATATATATTAAATAAGCAAGGTGACAGTATACATCCTTGTCGTACTCCTTTTCCTATGCTGAACCAATCAGTTGTTCCGTATCCGGTTCTAACTGTCGCTTCTTGGCCCTTATACAGGTTTCTCAAGAGACATGTGAGGTGGTCTGGTACTCCCATCTCTTTAAGGACCTGCCATAGTTTGTTGTGATCCACACAGTCAAAGGCTTTAGCATAGTCAATGAAGCAGAAGTAGATATTTTTCTGGTACTCTCTTGCTTTCTCCATAATCCAGCGAATGTTGGCAATATGATCTCTCGTTCCTCTACCTCTTCGAAACCCAGCTTGTACTTCTGGTAGTTCTCTATCCACGTACTGTTGAAGCCTAGCTTGTAGGATCTTGAGCATGACCTTGCTAGCGTGTGATATGAGTGCAATTGTGCGATAGTTTGAACATTCCTTGGCGTTGCCCTTCTTTGGGATTGGAATGTATACTGATCTTTTCCAATCCTGTGGCCACTGTTGCGTTTTCCAAATTTGCTGGCAAATGGAGTGCAGCACTTTAACAGCATCATCTTCTAAGACTTTGAATAGCTCAGCTGGAATACCATCACCTCCACTAGCTTTGTTGTTAGTAATGCTTTCTAAGGCCCATTTAACTTCACATTCCAGGATGTCTGGCTCGAGGTCAGTGATTATACCGTCGTGGTTGTCAAGGACATCGAGGTCTTTCTTGTATAGTTCTTCTGTGTATTCTTGCCATCTTTTCCTAATCTCTTCTGCTTCTGTTAGGTCCCTACCGTTTTTGTCCTTTATCATGGCCAGCTTTGCATGGAACGCTCCCTTGATTTCTCCAATTTTCTTGAAGAGATCTCTAGTCCTTCCCATTCTATTGTTTTCTTCTATTACTTTGCACTGTTCATTCAGGAAGGCCTCCTTATCTCTCCTTGCTGTTCTCTGGAAATCTGCGTTCAGTTGGGTAAATCTTTCCTTTTCGCCTTTGCCTTTCGCTTTCCTTCTTTCCTCTGCTATTTGTAAAGCCTCATCAGAAAGCCATTTTGCTTTCTTGCATTTCTTTTTCTTTGGTATGGTGGTGATTGCTGCCTCCTGTACGATGTCACGAACCTCTGTCCATAGTTCTTCAGGCACTCTATCTATCAAATCCAGACCCTTGAATCTATTCTTCACCTCTACTGTATATTCATCAGGGATGCGATCTAGGTCAAACCTGAATGGCCTCGTGGTTTTCCCAATTTTCTTCAGTTTAAGTCTGAATTTTGCAATGAGTAGCTCATGATCTGAACCACAGTCAGCTCCAGGTCTTGTTTTTACTGACTGGATAGAGCTTCTCCATCTTTGACTGCAAATTATATAGTCAATCTGATTTCGGTGTTGCCCATCTGGTGATGTCCATGTGTAGAGTCGTCTCTTAGGTTGTTGGAAAAGGGTGTTCGCTATGACCAGTGTGTTCTCTTGACAAAACTCTGTTAACCTTTGCCCTGCTTCATTTTGCTTTCCAAGGCCAAACTTGTCTGTTATTCCAGTTACCTTTTGACTTCCTACTTTAGCATTCCAGTCCCCTATGATGATGAGGACATCATTTTTTGGTGTTAGTTCTAGGAGGTGTTGTAGGTCTTCATAGAACCGGTCCATTTCAGCCTCTTCTGCATCAGTGGTTGGGGCATAGACTTGGATTACTGTGATGTTGAATGGTGTGCCTTGGAATCGGACCGAGATCATTCTGTCATTTTTGAGATTGTATCCCAATACTGGCTTTTGCACTCTCTTGTTGACTATAAAGGCCACACAATTTTTTCTACGAGATTCCTGGCCACAGTAGTAGATATAATGGTCTTCTGAGTTAAATTCGCCCATTCCTGTCCACTTTAGTTCACTGATTCCTAGGATATCGATGTTCAGTCTTGCCATCTCATTTTTGACCACGTCAAGCTTACCTTGATTCATAGATCTTATATTCCATGTTCCTATGCAGTATTGTTCTTTGCAGCATCGGACTTTCCTTTCACCATCAGACACATCCACAACTGAGCGTCCTTTCAGCTTTGGCCCAGCCGCTTCACTCTTTCTGGGGTTACCTGTACTTGCCCTCTGCTCTTCCTCAGTAGCATATTGGACACCTTCCGACCTGAGGGGCTCATCTTCCGGCGTCATATCTTTTAGCCTTTTGATACTGTCCATGGGGTTTTCTTGGCAAAAATACTGGAGTGGGTTGCCATTTCCTTCTCCAGGTGGATCACGCTTGGTCTGAGTTCTCTGCTGTGGCCTGTCCGTCTTGGGTGGCCCTTCACGGCATAGCCCACAGCTTCACTGAACTACACAAGCCCCCTCGCCACGACAAGGCAGTGATCCATGAGGCTTACGGCTTAACAATGAGGATTTTCAAGGGAGAGTGCTGCTGTTATCAGTGTCATTCTTGGCAGTGTCAGAGCCCCTTTTTAAAAAGGCACTAAAATACTGATCTATCGCTGTAGTGTTGTAATGATATTTTAAGCCATTTCCCTGAACTCCCAGCTTTCTTTCTTTTTTTTTTAAAAAAGTAAGTCCCTAGTTCCTTCCCTCACTGTGGTATAAGGGAAAAGGCATACCTGGATGAGGGCCGAAGCTAGAGGCTTACTTTTAAAAGTGAGTTGGGTCAGTGAGTTGGGTCAGGAGAAGCCCAGCCCAAGCAAAATATCTCACGTAGTTCAGCCAGCACACTGGGTAGATTAGAGATTATTCAGTGTATATCATTTATCATTTCCATTGTGTTTATTTTTCATTGACAGTTTCATAACATCTTTCTCATCAGGTCTGTTACAGTTCTTTCTATTTTCCTCCGCATAAACACTTTTGTGATTGTTAGGGGGTTTCTCCTTTTGGGAAATGAATATCCAGGAGATCGTTTGTTTTCTTAAAAAAAAAGGGGGGGAAGTTAACCTCAAGTGGGTCATGCTGATCGATCTCCTCACATATTTTTTAGCTGCAGAACTTAAGCTCTAAAAACAGCATACAGACACCTGCCAATACGCAGAGGCATCATAAGAAAACCATCTTAGCATAAAAAGAAGAAAACAAAGTCCGCTGGGTTGGATCCTGAGGAGCATTTCGACTGCCAGAAGGGGTGTGTGTGACTTTCGCTGATTCTCCTCTCCTGCTGCAGACCTGGACTCCCCCCTCATCCTTGTCGGGGGGGGTCTCCTGTCCCCCAGGGGCAGCAGTTTGGGGCAGCATTCAAGGCTGCAGTGGACAGGGCAGGGGTAGTTGTGCTCTGCTAATGGAAATCTTTCTGTGGAAATGATTTGTGGGATCCAACATTGCCTTATGGGCGTTATTCAAGACTTTCACAAAAGGGTACTGCCATTCTGACAGTGTTTTTACACTCGCGCCAAGGGAGTCATGAATAATTCCTCCTCCAATCCTTGCTGTATGTTCACTTCTCTTTATTCTCGCTTGGTTCTTTTTGTGGTTAGGGTGTCCTTGGGGCAGTCTCTCTCTCACCGTCTAACTTACCTCACAGGGCTGTTGTTGTCAAAGTGAAATAGAATAGGAGAGAATGATGTTGTAAACTGTTTTTGGTCCCCGTTGGATAGAAAAGCTGACCTAGATCAAATCTAAATAAATATAGTACTCAGTACTGGAGCGTTTGCTTTGAAATCTGGGCCATAACATTACCCTCTGCAGAGCTGAGGACAGGACAGTCTTTATTAGAGGAAACAGAATATATTTGTCATCTGGTAAGGGGTAGCTGATGTTGTTGTTCAGTCGCACAGTTGAGTCCGACTCTTCGCGACCCCATGGACCAGATCACGCCAGGCCTTCCTGTCTTCCGCCGTCCTCTGAAGTTGGCTCAATTTCATGTTCGTTGCATCTATGACACTGTCTAACCATCTCATCCTTTGCCGTCCCCGTCTTCTTTGACCTTCAATTGATTGAAGGTAGCTGATGACATCATAGCATTTGGGTTTTTAGAGAGGCAGTCCTCAAGAAATGCTTCTCTGTCTATCTGGGCGTTCCAGATGTGGCAGAGAGTTGGACCAATGAGCACACCTAGAATCTGGAAAATCACGACAGCCTGGAGAGGGAGAACGTTCGGCATCTGCAAAGGCCAGGCCAGGCGGATTCTGCGATTTCTTCAATCGTTCTCAGGAGAAAATGGAAAGTCTGGGCCAGGGCTGGAAAAATGATGTGAGGTATTCCTAGTAGTAGACACACCCCAGATTCAGGAGCCAGGTACCTCGCCGGACATGTGCTTTCTGCAAAGGCGGGATCCAGAATTTTTAATGTATTTGTTTTTTTTGCTATGCCCCATTAGCAGGTTCTGTTTTGGAAAATGAATTTTAAAAGGGAAACTTTGCACCAAGAATAACCTGCAACTGGTATGAATTATGCAAAAATAAATCACTTGCATGCATTTTCCTTGCTTTGCATCTCCTCCCCTCCCCCACCGGCTTTGGATAAAAGCATAAACCTACAGAGACCACACAGTTGCATGCCAACTTCTTAAGTTTCACCGCAACCTTTCCAGCCTTCCCTTGCAGTCTTACGGGATAAAACTAATAATAATAATAATAATAATAATAATAATAATAATAATAATAAAGCACACAGGGCTATCCTAAGCCAAGTTACACCCTTCTAAGACCCCCAACGTCAACAGACTTAGAAGGGTTGTGTAGCTCTTCTTAGGATGGCATGTAAGCAGGGGTCATTTCCTGCAGGAGCACACAGGAGCACATACAACAAGCCCCGCCCCCTTCTCCCAGCAGCCTCGGGCCACAAGGAGCAAGAAGCAGCCAGGTAAGTTGCAGAGCCCCCCCCCCCATTAGCAATCCAAAGGAGTCCAGTGGCACCTTTAAGGCCAAGGTTTATTCAGGTACAAGCTCTCCCTCCTCTGTGAGAGCAGATCTGCACATTCCTCCCCCCCCCATGTAAGTAAGGTTGGATTGGCCATTTAACATACAGGGAAATTTCCTGGTAGGCTGCTGAGCTGGAGGTCCACTAATGGGCAGGAGCAAGCAGAGCCAGTCTCCAGCAGTTCACTAAGTACCGCAGGAGTCACTTGGCTCAGTCGCATCAGCAGCAACAAGGAGCAGCATCGATGTACCACCTGCATCCTCCAACACTGCCATGGTGGTGGTGGGGGGAAGAGTTGAGCCAGTGACCATTGTCGGCTCTGCCAGCAGTGGTCTAAGCCGTGGTGCTGGCTTGCAGAACCACAGGGGCTGCCCAGATTGGCTCGTCCCTGGGCCACTTAAACTTTCCGGTCCATTCCTGACCGCAAGATCCCTCAGGATGCCGAGTCCAGAACTGGGGGGAAAGTCCAGGCAACCTGGATTCCAGCACTGTCTGATGCAATCCATTTGGTGATTTGACACTTGACAGTTACGGAATATACCCAGATCCCCCATTAGGCCTGAGTATGGAGAAGACAGACGTTCTGGAGCTCTTATCCCTGTTAATGATGGGCCAAGTATGTATTTATTATTAAATTTATATGTTACTTTTCTTCCATGATGGATTTCCAGGCGAGGATTCCCAAGAGACCTCCCACCCCCCAATCCAGACTTGCTTAGCTTCGGCAAGGTTGCTGTATGCAGTCAGACCACTACCGACCGATCCCGGTCCGATCCTGGCCTGGAATTTGTTGCACTGCAAAGAACTCATTTGTTATGAGGGTCGGATCTGACATGAATGTCACTTTGTTGGGCCAGGCCATGTGTACCAGAAAATGTGATGCCAGGTACCAGAGATACTTTACCACTGACTATGACCTATAACCCCTCCTCATAAGAACATAAGAGAAGCCAATGTTGGATCAGGCCAATGGCCCGTCCAGGCCAATACTCTGTCACACAGTGGCCAAAAATACCAGGTGCCATCAGGAGGTCCAGCAGTGGGGCCAGGACACTAGAAGCCTGTTGCCTTCCCCCAAGCACCAAGAATACAGAGCATCACTTGCCCCAGACTGAAAGTTCCTATCTATACCTTGTGGCTAATAGCCACTGATTGACTTCTGCTCCATATGCTTATCTAATTCCCTCTTGAAGCCATCCATTCTTGTGGCCACCACCACCTCCTGTGGCAGTGAATTCCATGTGTTAATCACTGTTTGGGTGAAGAAGGATTCCTTTTATCCATTCTAACCCAACTGCTCAGCAATTTCATTGAGTGCCCACAAGTTCTTATATTGTGAGAAAGGGAGAAAAGTACTTCTGTCTCGACCGGCTCTGTCCCACGCATAATCTTATAAACCTCGATCATGTCACCCCTCAGTCGTTGTTTCTCCAAGCTAAAGAGCCCCCAAGCGCTTTAACCTTTCTTTATAGGGAAAGCGTTCCAACCCTTTTATCATTCTAGTTGCCCTTTTCTGCACTTTCCCCAATGCTATAATATCCTTTCTGAGGTGTGGTGACTAGAACTGCACACAGTATTCCGAAATGAGGTCACACCATTGATTTATACAGGAGCATTATGATACTGGCTGAATTGTTTTCAATTCCTAATAATCCCCAGCATAGTGTTAGCCTTTTTTATTGCACTCGCACACTGTCTTGACATTTTCATTGAGTTACCTACTACAATTCCAAGATCTCTCTCTTGGTCAGTCTCTGCCAGTTCGGACCCCATCAATGTGTATTTATAGTTAGGATTTTTGGCCCCAATGTGCATCACTTTGCACTTGGCCCATTGAACCCCATTTGCCACGCTGACGCCCACTCACCCATCCTCGACAGCTCCCTTTGGAGTGCCTCACAATCCTCCCTGGTTCTCACCACCCTGAACAACTTCGTGTCATCTGCAAATTTAGCCACTTCACTGCTTGCTCCCAATCCCAAATCATTAATGAACAAGTTAAAAAGCATCAGACCCCGTTGCCAGAGCGACGCGGAGCGTCACATCCTGGCGACAGCGCGTGCAGCGCGTGCAGCCGTCCCCACGCGAGGCTCCTGCCAGGAAATACAATTCCCCCGCCGGAATTTGGTAAGCCTAGCTCAGGAAGGATGGCTCCAGAGCAAACTAATTGATGCAGTAGCCAAATGGCTCGCTCACAACTTTAATGCCAGTAGCTCACAAAGTAGAATTTCTGCTCACAAAACTCCACAGCTTAGAGGGAGCATTAGTCTTCTTGTAGAAGCAGACTTCAGTTTGGTATTCTTGTTTCCCTTCCAAGACTTTCTCGATACGCTGCATAACAGCCTCGCTGGTCTCGCTGCCGTAGAGGAAACGGCAGCTGCAGGTCTTCTGCATGACTTCTGTCCGGGCAAAGCCAGTGAGGTCACAGAATCCGTCTGAACAGTAAACAATGGGGAAGCCACGATGCACCTGAGCATTGGCCAAGAGGAAGTTGCTGTCTGCAGAAGAACACAGAAGAGACCCCCGGTCCTCAGTGACGTGAGCACAGGAAGCGTTCCAGATGCATAAGTAACTGGACAATTAAGTATAGCTGAGATTGGATTAAAGCAGTTGGTAAGACCTGTGAATGGCAGCAAATTAGCCTACAAATATGAGAGTTAAGAAACAGATGTGAGAACTAAATTTGAGTCCAGTGGCACCTTTAAGACCAGCAAAGTTTAGCTCTGGGTATAAGCTCTCCACTTGTTCAGATACATTGAACAGACTTCGTCAAGCATGACATATAGGTTGGGGGGGTTAGCTGCCAGGAAGGACTAGTTAAAGACAAGATGCATAAGTAACTGGGTGATAAGTATAGCTGAGATTGGATTAAAGCAGATGGTAAGACCTGTCAATGGCAGCAAATTAGCCTACAAATATGAGAGTTAACAAACAGATGTGAGAACTAAGTTTGAGTCCAGTGGCACCTTTAAGACCAGGAAAGTTTAGTTCTGGGTATAAACTCTTGTGTACATGCACACGTCTTCAGATACATTGCAATAGACTTTCTCAAGCCTTACATATAGGTGTGTTGGGGGGTGTTAGGTGCCAGGAAGGCCTAGTTAGAGTCAAGATGCATATGTAACTGGGGCGATAAGTATGGCTGAGATTGGATTGGGGTTGCCAGGTCCCCTCGTCACTCTTGTGGGGGGATTTGGGGGGCATTCCAGGGGTGGGCAGGGATGCCCCCAAGCTCTGCTCCCAAGAGCGACTACCCACCTGGCCACCCCTCCCCCTCCCGACAGATTTATAGGACTTCAGCTGATCGGCAGGGACCATGTGGCCCGCCAACCAGCTGGAAGACTCTTTAAATCTAGTCCAGGGGTGCCCCAACTTGCTTAACGTAAGAGCCACACAGAATAAATGTCAGATGTTTAAGAGCCGCAAGACATGAACAAATATTACACACACGTTTTATTGAAAAATATGCAGATTTGCTTGTTATTAACATGAAATGAGATTGCCAAGAATAAACACAAAAGGGGTTCAAAACAGATATTTATTTTTTGATGATATTTGTAGGGGGGGGGGCATTTAAAATTGCTTTCTTTCTCTGCTCCCCCCCCCCACCTCAAGCCTACCCAGGGAGGGGAAAACTGGCTGGGGAAGGGAAGACCGATGGGGGAGGCATGCCCAGCCACCCTACTGGGAGCTGCACAATATGTGTGCAAGGGCCGCATGTGGCTCCCGAGCCGTCATAGATTGGCCATCCCTGAGCTAGTAGGAGGGAGGGAGAGGGGCAGTCACGGGCTGCATGCTCAGCTGGCAAAAAGACCCTTGGGGCTGAGAGAAATCTGCCTGTTAGATAAGACCTGTGAATGGCAGCAAATTAGCATACAAATACGAGAGTTAACAAACAGATGTGAGAACTAAGTTTGAGTCCAGTGTCAGCTATACCAATCGCCCAGTTACATGTGCATCTATTTTTGGACTCAAACTTTGTTCTGTTGCTTCAGACCAACATGGCTACCCACCTGAATCTACCTTTAAAGACCAACAACACTTGTCCCAGCACAATCTTCTTCGAGCTGGAGCTCACTTCATCGGATGCATCAGAGTGCACGTTATTTATACTTAGTTACAAGCAACAGTAAGGTGGTCATGGGGAGACGCTACAAAGATAGGCTAGTTTGAAAGAATAACCAACCAAAGAGAAATCAGTCCATTCAGAGTGGGTGAGGAGGACCCCGCCCAACTGTTGAAGATAGTCAGGGTAGGATAACATAAAATCAGAAGTAATCAAGGAAGGTGCACTGTGAAAAAACATAAGCGAGACATCAGCACCTATAGTGAGTGAGGACAGCCAACTTGGGTTGCCCACTCCGGGTTGGGAAATACCTGGAGATTTGGGGGGTGGAGCCTGAGGAGGGCAGGGCTTGGGGAGGGGAGGGTCTTCTGTGGGCTAGAACGCCACAGAGTCCACCTTCCAAAGCTGTCCTTTTCTCCAGGTGAGCTGATCTCTGTCGCCTGGAGATCAGTTGTAATCCCAGAAGATCTCCAGCCACCACCTGGAGGTTGGCAAACCTGCAGCCAAGTCCTTATTCAAGCCCAGAGAAGAAACAGTGTTGAATCTCTCTCAGTCGAAACACTCAGGAATCTAAATGTCGGTTTTGATCTTCATCTACATGGCCTAGGTACAACCTCCAGCACTGATATAAACTGGGGAGGGGGAATCTTTTAGTACGTGGCCTTTAAGCAGATGCGTTTATTATCTCATTAGCAGCCAGGTGCCTGTTTTGAAGGAACGGGCTGGAGGTGGAGCTTCAGAGAGCTGAAGGGCCTCTGAAAGAGGAATCCCCTTGTGTGCGCAGTCCTCCCACTTTCACCTCTGGTGAGCAGGTAGGGCTGCCAAGTGGGGGCGGGGGGCGGGGAAACCCCCGCTTCGGAGGCCCAATTTCCGCCGCCGTGGAATCGGGCCCCAGGGGGAACTCCGCCCCCCAAAGAGCAGCATGGCTGCGTCACCAGAGGTGACAGAACCACGTCGCCCATGTTGGGGGCGTGGCCCGGATCACCAGAGGGAAAACTCTATGGTTTCCCCCCTGACGATTGGGGCCACGCCCCTAACATGGGCAACGTCGCACGTCACTTCCATTGACGTGCTGGCGGCGCCGCTTTGCGCACACGCACATCTGGAGCCGGCTCCCGGAGCCATCGGAGCCTCTCCCTCCGGTGAGTTTGCGGGACTTGGCAACCCTATGAGCAGGTTTGCTAGGTTTTTATATTCTTTCAGAAACCGGTCAAACCTCTTTGACCAGAGGCAACAGCTGGGCAAAAAAAGAAAAGAAAGGAAAAAGGTTGTAAACCAGCTGCCCATCCCCACAAAGTCTCTTTCTGTCCACCAGGCCTTCAATTAGGAGCTGCCCTCACCACTACCATCAACATCTGTGGTTACGGGCCGGCCCCAGTTTTGAGATCGAGCCACGCCATCGTGCAACGCCAGAAGATCACTGAGTCAGAAATCGTGTGCTGTTACATCATATAGCACACCATCTCAATTAATGATGGAATTATTATTAATAGCACTTTATGGTTACCTGTTTTTAAAATGTTCTTATGTAGATTTTATGGTACCTTGTACCAACTATGTAAGCTGCCCTGAGCCTCTTCACGGGGAGGGTGGGATACAAAATAAATCTAACATCCAGCTAAACATTAGGAAGAACTTCCTGACAGTTAAAGCGGTTCTTTCGGTGGAACAGGCTTCCTCGGGAGATGGTGGGCCCAGCTCATCATCTTTGGAGGTTTTTAAGCAGAGGCTCGATGGCCATCTGACAGCAATGCTGATTCTGTGAATTTAGGCAGATCATGAGAGGGACGGCAGGAAGGGATGAGCCAGCACTAGGCTCTTGCTGCCCTTTCTTATATGCCCAGGGTAATGCCAATTGCCACTTTGGGGTCAGGAAGGAATTTTCCTCCAGGCCAAATTGGCCAGGAGTCCTGGAGGTTTTTTGTCTTCCTTTGGACATAGAGCAGGGTCACTAGGAGGGAGGAGATGGAGAAGAAGAAGAAGAGTTGGTTCTTTTCTACACCCTGAGGTGGCTTGGAATCTCCTTCCCTTCCTCTCCCCACAACAGACACCCTGTGAGGTAGGTGGGGCTGAGAGAGCTCTGAGAGAGAACTGTGACTGGCCCAAGGTCACCCAGCTGGCTGCATGCAGAGGAGGAGTGGGGAAATGAACCCAGTTCTCCAGATCAGAGTCCTGCTGCTCTTAACCACTACACCAAACTGGAAGGTAGTTGTGACTAGATGACCCTCGAGGTCCCTTCCAGCTCTGTGTTTCTGATATATCTCACAGGGCTGTTGTGAGGATAAAACCGAACAGGGGAGAAGCAGGTATCTAAGTCTCCTTGGAGAAAAGGCAAGATGAAAATGTAATAGATTCAGGGAGCAATCCTAAGGACATCTAGTAGGAAGTAAGTCCTGTTTTATATGCTGTTGAAGGGTTTCATGGCTGGAGTTCATTAGTTGTTATATATTTTCCCGGCTGTATGGCCGTGGTCTTGGCATTGTAGGACCTGATGTTTTGCCAGCAGCTGTGACTGGCATCCTCAGAGGTATAACACAGAAAGATGGAGTACTCTCTGTGTCAAGGTGAGAAGAAAAATGGCAGGCAGGTAATTTATATCTACTCAGGAAGGTGGGGTAGGGCTGAGTCATTCTCTTGTAGGAGTTTCCCAGGCTGTGACATGCTAATGGAGGAGGTCCTTTTGCATATGGATTGGCTGTTGAAATGCTAATCTTATCTGTAGTGCTGCTGTAAAATGGAGAGCATTTTGTGTTTTTCAGGACAGGAAACCATGCCCTATCCCCCCCCCCCCGGGTTCCCCCCCCGTGTTATACCTTTGAGGATGCCAGTCACAGCTGCTGCTGGCGAAATGTCAGGTACTACAGTGCCAAGACCACAGCCATCTACAATCTACAACAACTAATAAGTCCTGTCATCCAGACAGTCCAAAAGTATATACGGACGTAGGCATTGGTAACAGGGTTAGGAATGAGGGCAGCATCACCAACAAGCCAGGAGAAAAATATCCTGTCCCTTTCACAGAGGTATATTATTTACCTCCATGCCATGAAATGTTTCAGCTGCCCACTTTACGCGTTAAGCCTCTGGTTAAAGGGGCAGGACATTTGCCCCCAGACCTTCCGGCAACCCGACTCTCTCAAGCCAATCCCATTGCTTTTAAAAACAACTGCCCGTCTCCAACCAGATATGATCAAATATTATGTAATACAGAAAATCTGTCTAGTGGATTTTTAATCCTGCTCGTCCTCCAAAGAGCTCAGGGCGGCCTACGGAGCGCTCCCTTCCACGTTTTTATCCTCACGACAACCCTGGAGAGTGGAAAGAGGATGGTCAGCCCAAGATCCCCTCAGCAAGCTTCAGGGCAGAGCGGAGATCCGAGCTCAGGTCTCAGTCGGACAAACTGGCCACTACGCCATGTGTGGCTCTCTGAGC